GGAACTGTCAGTCCCGTTGTTTTCTCCTCCAGATTGTTCATCCAGCCTATCTTATTTAGACAGACCTGCGGAGATAATAACATGCACAAAAAAAGAGAGCAAAACCAAGCAACAATATACAACAAAACAAGAACAATCCAGTGACAAAACACAACAAGAAAGAAAAGCTTGTAGTTAGTTCAAGGATTGTTTGTTGGTCTTTAGGAGTGTTTTCCAGTCCAGTCTGTAGGGGCACCACACCCTGTCCCCAAAGTTCACCTTCAGCATTCCCTGGGTATCTTGCCACTCCATTCCCTTGCTGTTCTGTTGCACCCCCTTAGTGTTTTGCCTCGGTGTGGTGGGATCAGATCAGGTGCAATTCCCACACTATGTCTCCGGTGTCAAAGCTCTAATCTTTATGAAGCAGACTACCACATCATTCTTCCATAGGCCAGCTTGTGGATTTGAACTGTTGATCTCTTAGTTAGTAGCTGAGTGCTTAACCACTGCGCCCCAGGGCTCCTCCAAACACTATATTGCAAATCTCTCAGACTGAATATCACAACCTACCTTGGGTCCCTCTGTGATGTTTTGTTTACTTTTTAACATGAGTGTGAGATCAGAATCCATTCTCATGACAGAAAAAGAAGAAAAACTATAAGGGATTATAAAGTCAGAGCTAATACTGAAGTTAAGGCCCCTAAGTGATACAAATGGTTTGCATTCAACGATTAACCTAAAGGTTGGCAATTTGAACCCACCCAGATGGACTGGGAAAGAAAAGGCCTGTGATCAATTTTCATTAGGATTCCCGCCCATAAAGCCCCCTGGCACAGCTCTCATCTCTAAAACATGGGATCGCGATGAATTAAAATCAACTTGATGGCAAAGAATAGCACTAGCGTTGACTACAGTAAGAAAACTGACATGGAAGAGTGCCCTAGTTCTGTGTTAGGTGTTGTGCTAAGGTAACTTCCATTTCATAATTTACAGCACTTGTAATTTCCTTCTTTCTCTATTTTAATATTAGAAGTTTTCAGTTAACTAAGAATTGAGTATCCAGTGATGAGCCCAACACCTTGGACTGCCTTTTAAAGCTTTGCTAATCCTCCTAGGACCATGCAGAAGAAGGGCGAGCCAGCATTTACCAGTCTGTAGTCACCAACAGTTCCAAAGAAATGATGTGCTTTCCAGACTTCCCTTACCCTGATGACTACCCTAACTACATGCACCACAGCCAGCTCCAGGAGTACATCCGGACATTTGCCCAAAAAAAGGATCTTCTCAGATACATAAAGTTTGAGGTAAGGACCCCACAATCTGGGTTCTGGCTATTGATATGTATAGGAGTTCCAAGAGAGATAAGAATACTGCACACTGACATAAGTTTGGACACCTCATCAACCAAACGTGAGTTCAGATTATAAAGTGTTCCTGCATTATATCCCCTGCACCCTACCCCCATGTCTCCAGGACTCAACAAAAGCAGGTTCGATTTTGGTAGTCTCTGAGAGAGGAATCCTGGCAGCACAGTGGGTTAGGGGTTTGCCTGCTAAGCCAAAGACAGTCGTTCAGAGCCATGAACCACTCCTGGGGAGAAAAATTAAGCTGTGTGCTTCTGCAAAGACTTACAGCCTGAGAACCTATATGGAGCAGTTCTACTCTGTTCAATAATGTCACTATGAATATCATAAAAAATACTGGATGCAGCTATTCTACCATGTTGAAAAGAATTGCAACTTAAATGAATGATTAATATATTGATTGCCCCCATCTTTCACACACTTAATTCACTAGATTTCCCTTATAGAGCCTTGGGAGTTATGGCACAGAGATATTGTTTCTATAAATAATAATAGTGCTTTACATTTGTTTGGGAATCCTAACCTCAGTGTATTACATTAATGCATAACACATATACATAATGAGAAAAACAAAACATAAAATTTATGAGTTGGGATTACATCTGCATAATTACTTTACCTGGAATCATTTTAAAAATATAGCTGAAATAAAAATGTTCATTTGTCATTATTGCCTCAATTTATGGCAGAAGTAGCAATAAATGTCAGTGAAGCCCTAACTGTGTGCTAAGTATTGTGCTAGGCGTATATAGGAAGTCCCTGAGTTACCAACTACTGATTTATGAATGACTCCTACTTGTCCTTTAATGTGAGGTAAATTTGTCTTCACTGTGGAAAGATTGAATCATCCCCTTCTTGACAAAATCACCTTTATGTGCTGCATGGGAAATTTTAAATCACTGAAGAAGCTTCAAGCTTCTTCTTGCAGTAAAATCAGGCTAAAGAAAAACCTGACACACCTGTTCTGATTTGCCTACAAATTCGACTTAAAGACACAATTAGGAATGGATTTTGTCCGTAGTCCAGACAAAATACCTATACATCATAAAAGAAATAAACTCTCAGTAGGTTGACAATCCAACTGGAAATCTAAATATTAAGTGTAAATAGCAAAAACTTCTAAATTGAAAGAGAATGAAATGTTTAAAGTAGTTCACTTGGTAGAGAAAATAATGCTGTGAAAAATCATGAGGTCAACAAGAATGAGGCAGGCACTTTTCCAGAAGACTCAAGTTGTGCAAGTGAATTGCACAAGCAAGGTTGTTGTGCTGTGTACTATTGAGCCAATTCTAACTCACAACCACCACCCCCCACAGGACAGGATTGCCCACAAAGCTTTCTGGGCTGTAATCTTCATGAGAGCGCATCGCAAGGTCTCTTTTCCTCCACAGGATGACTGATAAGTTTGAATGGCTGACATGTTGCTTGGTCTGCTGACAGTGGCGGGGTTAGCAGCCCAGCATTTGATCACAGTGCCACAAGGGTTCCGTTTGCAAGTGAAATGACAGAGCTGAAATAATGCCCTGAAACTCTGAGGAGCCGTGAGCAAATGAGGTTAGCCGGAATGGGAGTGCCCCAGTCAAGATTGGGTTTATTTAGACATGATTACATATCAACAACCAGTATCTGTGGCTTTAAAAAGATAAAGGAGCATTTCACCGTCACGTGAAAAAACCTCCTAGGTGAGGGCATCCAGAAATGTCACGTACAGTCAGGTTCACCCCCCTCAGCATTGCCAAGATTGCATGGAGTCAAAGACAGTTACTGGAGCCTCGGCCCACACAAGCACTTAGCACGTCCTGGGCAAGGAGCGGGAAAAGGAAGACTGAATGACCGAAGGTTATCATCGCCTCTGAACAACCTACCTAAGACAGCTGCTTACATCTCACAGGCCACTCTCGGTGCACAGAGTCTGAGAAACACTTCCCTTTGCTGGGTTCATTGCCATGCCAAGCACAATCGGGGTTTGTTTGTTTTCTGTAAGAAATGAAGGGAGGGTGGATATGAGACATCTCTGTTCCAGAAGAGTTCATGGGGAGATCAAGAAATAAGCCTAGAGGAGGAGACTGGGCTTTGCATTACAGCATCAGAAAATGAAATAAACCCTGTATTCTGGGAAGACAACAGCAATAACTTTGAGCAGGGATGATTGAATCAATATGACATACTAGAAATACATGACATGCAGCATGAAAGATAGCTTATAAAAAACCAGAGGTTGGAAACAGGGCAAAAGTCCTTATAATGGAATGTTCAGGACTTGAACCGAGACCCTGAGAGAAATGATTGTTTAGGCACAAGGCAAGAATGGAGACCTATCAGTCAAAATAAATGGTGGGGTTGAAGCAGATGATGGAGTTGCTAATTGTTATAATTAAGAGGAATATTAAAGTCAGCAGCCAGCTTTAAGGAAAATAAAATTTATGATTACTTAAGGAAAATAAGATTTATTCTGTCATTAATATACATTTGAGGAAATATTATGCCCTCTAAATGGAAAGCTAGGCTGGATCATAGAAGTAACAGTTAGGATATATATATACTTTTAAAAGGTCATGGAGAAATGAAAAGATCATGGAATTTTTTAAACAAATATTTTGAAGCAACTTTCTATTCATATGAGGGAAAAGGCTAATATTTCCACTGGCTAGTTATATACAAGCAGCCTTGGTAGCACTGTGGGATAAACACTGGGCAGCTAACAAAAAGGTTGGCAGTTCAAATCCACCAGTTACTCCATGAAAGGGAAATGGGGCAATCTGCTGCAGTAAAGATTTACAGTCTCAGAAACCCTACATTGGGTCACTGCGAGTCATAGTTGACTCAGTGGCAGTGGGTTAGGGTTTGGTTTAGTATATATACAAAGCAGAAGAGACAAAAGCTTGAACCTTAAGATAGTTACCAATTTCTTGAGTAGAGAGAATGTGAGGTCAGAGAAGGAAGAAGAATCCAGGTATTTCCATGAAGAATAGCAGCAAAAATAGAAAACAAAATGTTTCCCCAAATCTATTAGCTCTATGTCAAAAAACTTAATAAACCTCAGTAAGTAATATTCCTTGAGATTTTAAGACTCACGGAAGGTTCACTATAAGCCCACTTTAACATCTTTCCAAACATTTCTCACTGAGTAAGAGAGCACATAATTATTTTAAGCAAAGAAATACTGTAAGAAAAAAAGTACATATATAATTATAATAGAAATAATTTTGATGTTTCTTCATGTTTTCAAGACTGTGGTTACCAGTATAAAGAAATGCCCCAGTTTCTTAGTCACTGGTCAATGGGATATTGTTGTTGAAAAAGATGGGAATCAGGAATCTATTATTTTTGACGCTGTAATGATTTGCTCAGGACATCATGTATACCCCAACCTTCCAACGAATTCCTTTCCTGGTAAGTTTGAAAATTGAATATTAACCTAGGGGAGGTATACACAGAGGAGCCATGGTAGTACAGTGGTTCAAGTGCTCAGCTTCTAACCCAAACACTGGAGGTTCAAACCCACCAACTACTCTGTAGGAGAAAGATATTAGCAGTCTGCTTCCATAACACTTTACACCCTTGGAAACTGTATGGAGGCAGTGTCCCATAGGGTCACTGCGAGCTGGAATGGACTTGGCAACAGTGGATTTGCTCGGGGTATGTACAAATATCAAAAGTTTAAATAGATTTTCCCATAGATTGTACATAATGATGTTTCGTAAGGCAACACATTTGTAAAACAAAAAATGGTCTAAGCGTAATAAAATGTGAAAGATAATAATAAATGGCCTCCTAAACCCATATCTTAAAAGACTAAAAAATATGTAAATCATAAATCAAACAATGACAAAGGTCCTGGTGATAGAGAAATCAATTCCAGTCTAAATCTTCACTGCTTCTGGAATCTCTGAGTGAAGTTGCATCCAAAGGAGAGTCCAGCCGTCCAAAAGTCCCATTTTCTTATGTTATCTCTAGGGGAAATCTGGATTTTTAAATCTCTTCTACATCGATAATTTGAAAATGAACCTTTGAAATCTCTGTGATTGAGTTTGTGTGATGGAGGTAGAGAGGAGGGCAATCCATTACTTCCCCAAGTGGCAAAACCAAGTCAACATAATTGAGCACCCTCTCTTCCTCCTGCCGCTCCCTGTCGCCATTGTCTCGCTTCTCCCTTTCTTTCTTGTAATAGGGATGCGGATCCACTCCAAGAGAAAGAGCCCCATCTCAAAGCATGTTCACAGGCCAAGATGAAAACAAAGAAAGTGTGAAGATTAAGGAAAACAGATTACAGCTAACAGTTCATGGAAAACTGAAATGGAAAAATGATAAATGTTCTCCATAATATGTTTCCCATAAACTGTTTAAGCCCCCTCATACTATGTTAATAAGTACTATATGTCATACCCCATAATTCCTTACTACATGACCTTAAGCAAGTTACTTGATTTATTTTTCTTGATTTCCTCATCTATTAAAATAAATATAATACTAGTATCTACCATTGAGATTGGATGAGCTAAAACATGTAAATTATTTAAGAGCAGTTCTAACCCACAGTAAATACTGGCTATTATTATTATTTCTAAGTTTAGGATTTTATCTATTCGGATATATTTGTTTTTGAAGTTCTACAACTATTCATTTGGGGATTTAGTATAAGAAACTGCTCAAAGGGCCAATGCATTTCAACCAGGATTATTACATATTAAGATTTGTAATCAATAAGGGGAAAACATGTAAAAAAAAAAAGTAAGTCTTCATAATTTTGTATGAAAATCACCTAAGTGACTCTTCATGTTCCATTTAGGTCTAGAAAAGTTTCAAGGGAGCTACCTCCACAGCCGGGACTATAAGGGCCCCGAGGTTTTCAGAGGGAAGAGGGTCCTGGTGATTGGCCTGGGGAATTCAGGATCGGACATTGCTGTTGAGCTCAGTCGTCTGGCTGCCCAGGTACATGACTGAAAGCGTTTGGGGAAACACACTGATGTTTGACTGTGTTACTAAATCAACAACCTAGGGATTGCAGGTGGTCTTCGCCATGTCATTCCACAAGACATCCACCTTTTGTATATGTTCTTTACATCAAGAAGGACAGACATTCTCCACAGGAAGCAAGGTCATTTTACTCATGCTAGTAAGCAAGTATATCCTGCTGGAATCAGAGGTACGTGTGTGTGTGTGTGTGTGTGTGTGTGTTGCCTTCATTTTATGTCCTAATCACTTCCACATAGAATAAATGCTAGTCAGTATCCACCTTTATTAATGATAACTTTATATGTCAATATAAACTCGAGGGCAACAGGTTTAGTTATATTTTGGTTTTGCTTTTTGTTGTTGTCTTTTGAATCATCAAGTTACTGAATCATCAAAGTTATTGTGTTTGCCACCTGTAATATCTTGAAGATAAACATATTTGTTGCTTTCTATTATTTATTTATTCAACTGGAAGTGCCCAAAAGATACTGGGCACCTAGTGTATACCAAAACTGTGTTAGGCTCTGGGGAACCAAAATTAAGCTAGTTCTTAACTTTAAGAGGCTGTCAACAGGTGGTGGTAGGTCAATCATTCACTCACTGCCATTGAGTAGATGTCCACTCATAGTGACCATATAGGACAGAGTAGAACTGCCCCTGTGAGTTTCCTAGATTGTAACTCTTTATGAAAGTAGAAAGCCTCATCATTTGCCTTCAGAGCCACTGGTGATTTCAAACTGCTGACCTTGTGGTTATCAGGCCAGTACATAAACCCGACACCAGTAAGGCTCCTAACAAGTACGGAATCCATCATAAAAAGAGATGCTGCATCTTCCAATGAAATTCGGTGTGGCATTGTACCACCTGGAAAAGGGAACCTAACAGCCTGGATCGAGTCATGTCTAGCTGCCCAGAGGATTCCAAGCTGAGTCCCTCGTGATCAGTAGATCCTTAACAATCTTACCATTCTTTTAAAAGATCATTCAATAAATAAATTAATAACCAGAACATAAAGAAAGCCTAAGGACGTTTTAAAAATAAAACATCTTTGAATACAATGAAGATGATATCTCTTTTTGATACCTACCTCTTCATGTCTTCTCTGACATCAACTGTAAATCCAGTTTTCTTATGACTCCAGCCACCCAGCGTTATGTCAGGTCTTACATATTCAGGGACATCAACCTCCAGAATGCTAAATTAACCCAAGGCTTTAGACAGAAATCACACCCTCGCTCCTGACCTCACTTCCCACTCCCTCCTGAGACTCGATCATTGAGAAAGTGTTATAATTACAACTTTACTACAAAGTAAAGTTGGACTATAAATCAGGACTGGCAAGTCTGGCTAGACCAGAGGAGGTACACTGGTACAGATAGGAACTGAAAATACAGGGAATCCAGGGTGGATGAGCCCTACAGGACCAGTGGTGTGAGTGGTGAAACAGGGAGGGTAAAGGGAGAATGTGTAGGAAAGAGGGAACCGATTACATGGAACTGTGTGTGACCTCCTCCCTGGGGGACAGACAACCGAAAAGTGGATGAAGGGAGACGTCGGACAGGGCAAGATATGACAAAATACCCGTTTATAAACTATCAAGGGCTGATGAGGGAGCGGGGAGCGGGGAGGGAGGGGGAAAATGAGGACCTAATGTCGGGGGTTTAAATGGAGAGAAAATGTTTTGAGAAACGATGTACCAATGCGCTTTACACAATTGATGTGTGTATGGATTGGGATAACAGTTGTATGAGCCCCTAATAAAATGTTAAAAAAAAAAATCAGGACTGGCGTAGAGAAGTAGTGCATAGGGTCAGGATGAAGAGGATTTCAAAGAGTTTCCAATTCCCAATGACTCTGTTGTCCTCATCAATGTCTTTCACCAACCTGGTAGCTGAAGCTTCAATTCCAAAGTTCTCACTGGGAGTTCATTACATAGGCGTGATTGGTTACATGACTGGTCATGTGGCTGAGCTCAAACTACACCCCTTCCTAGAGGATGAGCAGATATATCATTATCACTGCCTGGGACTGCCGGCCCCCAGCCTAAGTCCTTTCATTAGCAGAGTGTATACAGCACCTTCCTGTCGCTCTCAATTAATAATAAAGACATGCTAACCATTAAGGAAAGTATAGAAGTTTACAGGTAACATCCCAGGAATGAAGGGCGAGTCCACTTTCCTTGGGTAAAATCATTCTTCATTCCACAGACAGAGTTCTTAATTTTTCAGATTGACAGGCTGCCAGGTTCTCAGCACCAAGGCTACTTCCTTGTTTTGGGATTCCCAGGAGGATGAATATGCCGGAAACTCATACTGACAAAGAGATCAGAGAAAAGAAAGAGAAAATGGAGAGCAGAATTAAAGCCTTGCCATCTTCTCAGGCTAACGTGAACAAAATATTTAGCCACATTCTCTCTATCCTAACCTGTCTTCCACCATAATGGAGGCTCGCTGGATTAGCTGGTCTCTTTCAGACCGGTAATCCTTAGCCCATGAAGATTAAGCCTGTCACCATTGATTATAGGATCCTCTTATTCCAAAATGATTCTAAATTTCAACAACTATGCATTAGCCCTCTGGAATGATGTGGAGTACTCTTGCCTCTTCTTAGGTTAAGTATGGACTAAAAGTGCTTTAAAAGTACTACTGTCTTGATATTGAGGGACTATATAAGGAAAATACCCATCGTAATTGTGTCGGGTTGCTTATTTTTTACAGTATTATTAAAATCTGTGTTGCCTTTCCCTGGCAGGTCATGATAAGCACCAGAAGTGGTTCCTGGGTCATGAGTCGAGTTTGGGATGATGGCTATCCTTGGGACATGGTATATGTTACCCGCTTTGCATCCTTTCTCCGGAATATACTTCCTCCATTTGTCTCTGACTGGTTATACGTCAAGAAGATGAACACATGGTTTAAGCATGAAAACTATGGCCTGGTGCCGTTAAATGGGTAATACAAATAATGCATATTTTATCATTCGTAAACGTGAGGTACTAGGTTAAACTGAATTCTCTCCAAATCTGACTTTGGTTACCTCATTGAGGCTAATGAGATTGAATTATAAACCACACAAGTGACAAAATATGCCCAGAGACCCTTTATACAAGGGGAATGAACCATTAAAACTAGCTTAGTAAGGAAAATGAGTCAAACCCTTACAGTCTCATAATAGGGATGGGGCAGGCAGCTAGGTCTTCTAACTTGCAGGACTCATTTAAGGCAGCTGTGAGCCGTTCCACAGAGCTTGGAGGCTTATCTCACCTCTTCATTCTTGGCCTGAGACCGTTCACAAAATTGGGTTAGAGATACCTTGTCCGTGCTAATGGGTAACTGAGGATAGCAATAACAATATCTACTCTGCATGTCTGTTGTGAGAGTAAGATAAAACATAGGAAAGTACCTTGTAAACTGTGAAGCATTACAAATAATGGTTCCGGTTAGCATCACATTTTCTAATTACTTCTAAGGAGCAATTAATGAAGTACTTTTAATCAGCATGTTCCAACAAATAGCAAGTCACAAAGCAAAACTGCACGGCCACCCCCTCCTCCACCCCATCGCTGAAGGGTGGGCAGTTTTGCCAACTCGTCAAGAGGTGTGCAGCAGGTTAGACAGTGGAGATTCACACAACCGCTAAAGTATACAAAGGTAGTCAGATGTGTGTACTTAGCTCTTTTTAGAGAAATCTCAACACCTATTTATTAGGAAGCCAGTCTAAGTAGAAGAGTAGGCCTATCAGTAAGGGGCAAAAGTAAGTAGGTAAATAATTCACTAAGAAATTCATCCTTTGGCCCATTCTCACTAAAAACCAAGTGCCATTGTGTTCAAAGGAGCAAGGAAGTGACAATTGAGGTCTATGCCAAATGGCAGTTTAGGAGACAAGCCCTCTCTCCACAGTGCTTATTCTACCTTGTCCTTCAGACTCCTGTCTTCCTGTCTGTGCTGCTGTAACAAATACTACAAGAACAAAACTTTATTTTCCTACAGTTCAGGAGGTTAACAACCTGAGTTCCAGGCTACAGCTTCAGGGGAAGGTCCTCTCTCTCAGCTGGATGGTCTCGTTCAGTTCCTCAGTTCCTTAGAGATCTCTATGTGGCATCTCTTTCCTTAGAGATCTCTATGTGGCATCTCTTCCCCCCATTTGTGCTTTCTGTTATATGTAAAGAGTGATTGGCTAAAAGCACAGCATACCCTGAAAAGACCTCATTACCAGAGCAAAGAAAACTCTATGCCCAAGTAGGATTAGATCCACAGGTATAAGGGTTATGATTTACAGCATTTACTTTTAGAGGGCACATTAAATCCATAACAGTCACTAAAGAAAAAAACGCTTACTTTATGCATTTAAAATTATGATCACTGTAATAAAAAGCTTAAAGACTGAGATGAGTCAGATTTTTTTTGTCTTCTCAGAGTATTACTGTACATTATATGTTGACTTTGCCATCTAGGCAATGAAAACATAGTTTTGGGAATAGATTCTTTCCAAGAACTAAGCAACCCTTCTGAAAGGGTTCATAATTGCTCTAAGTTCTTAGTCAAAGATGCCTTCCCTCTCTTGTCTTAGGTGGGGGGTAAGGCTGGGGCACAAGGGAAGGAGTGAAGAGGACAGGTTTAGTTGTCCTAGATTTGCCATCCATAGTCGGTAAGAAGAGAGGCGTGCAGTTATAGAGTTGGGAAAGGTGGGGAAGTAGCGAGACAAACCCCAAGACGTGTCGCTTCTTTGACTGTGAGATTCTTGGAGGTTATTCTAGAGTCTCTAAAGGAAACGTAAGTCAAACTGAAACATCGGTGAAGAAAACTATCATTTCCAGAACGTTAACAATGTAAGTGCAGTATTAAGGTCACTGCGCTTTCTTTTGTGACCACAGTTGATGAGCAAACCAAATAACAACATCCTAATAATGCAAGCCTGATTTTTCTACATAAGACGATGTCTTAGTTATAATTATAGCTAATTTGTAATATGGTGCTTTTATGTGTCAGTCATGGTTTAAAGGGCTTTATAGATAATTGTTCATTCAATGGTTAACTCTGTAAGATAAATTCTATTATAATCCCCATTTTACAGATAAGAAAACAGTGAAGTAATCACTGAGAAGATGGGTTATAAACTGGGACCACCCAATTTCAGGGTCTCCACTCTTAATCATTTTATTGTATCCAGGAATTTATTTTATTCTCCTCTATTTGGTGAATCCTATTTTATCCTATACTGTTAATATAATACTTATAGTAATAGTATGAGTATCCAGGAGAGAATCTTCAAGTTTCCAGGCAGCAAAATAAGCAGTTCAGACAAATTCCTAGGGAGGGTTGCAATCAATAGGAAAGAAATCACAGGTGGAGATACCGTGTTTCCCCGAAAGTAAGACATCCCCTGAAAATAAGACCTACTTACAGTTTTGACTCTCGCTGAAATATAAGGCATCCCCCCAAAAATACGACATCCCCCAAAATAAGGCCTCCCCGATAATAAGGCCCCCTGAAGCTACCATAACTCTGGACTCTGGACTGTAGCCCCGGGCGCCGCCGCGCAGCACACTAATGGCCGCAGCGCTGCCGGAGCAGACAGGAAGTGCGAGGTCCCTTTTAATCAGAGACCGCGCTGCTGCCAGGACAAGCTGCTGCCTGCTGCTTGCTCTGCCCTGACGGAGTCTGGCTGACTCACAATTAGACAGTGAGTCGCGCGGGGCAGGAGTAACAAGAAATTCTTGATACTATACGATTCAGTTTGTCTGGTTATGCTGGTTTGTGATGACAACTACTACCGTACCATATACAGGTAATAAATTTCCTTTTTTGTTGTTCAACAATAAATGTGTACTGTATTCTTCTTCATGGAAAAATGAGACATCCCCTGAAAATAAGACCTAGAGCATCTTTGGGACCAAAAATTAATATGACACGGTCTTATTTTGGGGGAGACAGGGTAGTACATTTAGCCTCACACTCGTGTTTAACTGCTCAGATTTGGTTTAAATGGCAGCAGCTGCTGCAAGTATTCCTGGTAACTAAAGTACTTTACAGCAGGGATCTTTTCTTCCATTTCTGCACAGGCCCCTGAGGAAAGAGCCTGTCTTCAATGATGAGCTTCCGTCCCGCATCCTGTGTGGCGCTGTGTCCATTAAACCCAACGTGAAGCAGTTCACAGAGACTTCAGCCGTGTTTGAGGATGGGACGGTGTTTGAGGCTATTGACTCCATCATCTTTGCAACGGGCTATGACTATGCTTACCCCTTCCTTGATGATTCCGTCATCAAAAGCAGAAACAATGAGGTCACCCTGTTTAAAGGCGTCTTTCCCCCGCAACTGGGGACGCCAACGCTGGCTGTGATCGGCTTGGTCCAGTCCCTGGGGGCTGCCATTCCCACAGCAGACCTGCAGGCTCGTTGGGCTGCTAAAGTGTTTGCAGGTAGGGGAGCTATTTTCTCTTCCACTTACTTAGCCAACAAACAGGTTTTCTTAAAACTTTTCATTGTGAATTGGGCGAATCAGTTTTCCAGTCAGCAGTTCCGACACATTTTGCTTCATGCCAGGATTGTAAATCCCACAGCGCAACATTCCTTATCCTACCTCTTCCCTGTGTGGAACACCAACTATATGCCGAGCACTGTGTAGGGACTAGGGAATCAACTGGAACAAGCTAGATGAGCTCCTTGACCTTATACATCTTAAAATGGAGGAAACACCCAAATAGAATTTTTAGGATATTCTGGTGAGGGAGCTTAGTGAGTTATTCCCTACTAAGGAAACAGCATGAGGAAAGGCATGAAAGTGAAGACTAGCATGAGGTGTGTGAGGAACCAGAAACATGTTAGTGGGTGGGGATATAAAGCAGAGGTCAGGCATGTCAAGAAATGAAGAAAGAGGTCAGAAGTTGGAGCGCTGTTTGAATTATGTTAAAGAACGTAAACTTCCCCAAGGGGAATGGAGAAATGCTGCAGGATTTGAAGCATGAGAGGCATAGTGCAGTGGCATGATAAGTTTGGCATTTAATACTCAGTATAGTAAATTATGGTGTCGCACCCCCCCACCCCAACACATACGCCTCTATTGGGCCTCCTCCTGTACCAGACCATACAGATTCTCTTTAAAGTTGATTATCAGTTTTGATCATAGAGTAATATGTGACTTTGTTATAAAGTGCTTAAATATACTATTTCTTTAGTTATACGGATGCTAACAACAAAATGGTTCTGTAAAATCCCTCTACGTTGAATTATAGCATTGTTAAGTTACATTATTTGTAATTGCATGAAAGCCTTTTTTACTTTTTTCATTTTCGCCCTTCTTTTCCTTTAATTACCACTCTATTCTCAAACGTTGTTGATGTAGGTTCACAAATACTAATCGCAATATTGTAAACTAAAGGGTCTGACAAAATCAGTGTATAAAAACATCGATGGCAAAAAAATCACCAGCGTCTGCTTGTAGTTCGCTATGACAATGACTCCACACGCTGTAGAAGGAAACACCGCCCCGTTCTGCACCACTCTCGAAATCGATCATATGTTTGAGCCCACTTTTTCAGCCACTGTGTCAATCCATCTCTGTGGTACAGTAAGTTATGGCTCTTCTAGCCATAGTCTTAGAATTCCCACCAAATGACTGGGTGATATCATGCAAATAAGGTATATGGGTGTGTTAGCCAGGGTTGACTAGAGAAACAAATTCATAGACATTCATATGTGTATAAGAAAGATTTATATAAAGAAGAAAACATCCCAGCCCAGTCCAGATCAAGTCCCTAAATCCGATATTAGCCCATATGTCCGATACCATCTATAAATTCCTCCTCAGGCTCATGCAACACATGCAATGACACCAAATGCAGGAAATCACAGGCCAGTGGGTGGAAAGTCTTGTGGATCAAGTGGCAGTGAAAGCATCTTAGCACCGGAGTGGGTCTCCACATGGCTCCTCTACCTCCAAGGCTCTGGCTGCCATCAGTCTAGTTCCATGTGGCTGGTCAACAAGAATGATTCCCAGGGAGACAAAGCAGAGAGAGAGAGTGTGTGCGTGTCCCACCTCCAAGGAGGAAGACAGGAGTTTCCAGAATCCTCAGGAGAAGGCCATGCCCACACAGAGGCATTACTGGCTGTGACCTGATTGACAGGTTAGACTCAGCCCCTTTGCAGTTGACAGATTATGTAACTGCCACAATGGGCTTCTAATCTGGGGATTGATCGGTTTTGCCATCTGCTGGGTTTTAAATGAACTATCACAGAAGCAGGAATAAGGGATCTCAGGACTATCAAAAAAGAAGAATGCTGAAGGAGACTTCACTGGTGACAATTTGGTCAGAATAACATTGTCAGTCTACTCCTACCTCATTGTCAATTTTAACTCCTTTCTTCCCTCCAAAACCAATGGTCTCTAAGAGCTAACGTATCTATATGTGAGGAAATTATGAGTATCAATAATGCATGGAAAAAGTGATGCCTGAAATATATTTTTTTAACTTATGAAAATCATATTCATATTGATCGCTGCTAAGTATTCTTTTGCTGAAAAGTTTGAGAATCTTAAGTGTTAGGTATATCTCACCTAATACAATGTCCATTACAAACTTAATATGTAAGCACATATTACAATCACAGATGGTATGTTTTTGTTTTATAAAAATGTTGCATGTAACTTAGCTGCTATTTCAAATGCATCATGAGGATCACCATTGAGAGCCATTGAATCTTCTGTAGGCAAATCATCTTTGTGATTCAGGTACTCCCTGTAAAATATATACTTCTCTTGCCTTTTTTGTCTGGAAAATCATAGCAGTGCCAAGAACGTGGAATCTTATGAGAAGATTGAATACGGTTCATAATTCAAGAAATTTGCATGAAGCATGGGGTATCATTCATTCATTCAGCAAACATTTATTGAGCTCCTGCTGTGTGTCTAACTGTGTCTCAGTTCCTGGGTTAACACCAGCAAACAAAACAGACCGAAAGTCTGGGGCCTGTGGGACTTACTTTCTAGTAGAGGTCACGGTAAAGATCTGAGCAGGGGAACCTCCGGCTGGGGGGACATGCTAACAATGATGGGAAGTGTCCATGGACTATAACTGCCATAAGAGCCTCTGGCTTGTAGAGAAGGCAAATGAGCTACAATCAGCAAACAGAAGAAGCCTCCACAAAAATTTTAAATGTTCTACTGCTCCTCAAAATATTCTCCCTAGCTGCAGGCTGATGCTTGAAATCCCATGCTTCCTTCCATAATTACCTTAAACTAATTTACTTGATTTCTTTCATGAGAGAAATTTTCACACAAGTATGCAGGCAAAAGATATGAAGAAACTGTTAAGCTAGTATAAGCCTGAAGTAGGTTACTGATGAGGCCCATCATTATAAAAATGTTGCAGCATTCTGAGACAGTGATTTTAAACTGCAAACCTCAGTCACTACTCACTGCAGACCAGCTTAGCGATTCTCAGAAAGTGGCCATTGCCTTATCAGGTCTGCATCTCTGTGGCTTGCTCTTCTGCCAAAGATAATCCTCTAGCCCAAAAAGTTTGCAAAGTATATTGTTCATAAATATGGATTGAGTTTCATCATATCATTATATATATATCCATATATATAGTGTCTTTGAGTTTTTCAATATTTCTCTCTTCATTTACTTTCTAGGGTCATGTATTCTACCAAGTGCAAAAGAAATGATGGATGACATTGATGAAAAAATGGGGAAAAAACTCAAGTGGTAAGAGACTCTATTTACTAATGAATCAAGCCCCAAAAGTCTCCTTCATATGTTAAATAATAATACATACTATGACATTTTCATTAGTCAAAGGTTTCAATTGTAAAGTATTTGCTATAATCAAATAAAAGTTTAGATGGACAAATAATTTAGATGGACAAACATTCCACGTCTCCTGTATAAATCTAGAGCAATGTCTCACTAACAGGGATGATTTTTGGTTACCAGAGGATATTTGGCAATGTTTAGAGATATTTTGTCTGTCATTACCTGGAGATGTCAGGTTTCTAATCAATAGAGGCCAGGGATGCTGTTAAACATCCTATAGTTCACAGGACAGCCCAAAAAATGGGGAAACAATGTTATCCAACCCAAAACAGCAATAGTGCTAGGGCTGAAAGACCATGTAGAATTTTCCCCAAGAACCCCCTTCCCAATAAACCATATGTTTATTTCCAGCAGGTTAAGTAGCTGGAAATGACATTGACAGCAAATTTGCTGTCATAGGAAAATACAATGAAGAATTTAATTAAGTTTACTTGCCCAATTATTGTTCACTGTTGTTCTCTTAACCAACCAATAAACTAAATACCAGACATTTCTTGTGTACCATAACACTATTCTACGCCATAAACTAAATGCTGAATACAAGGGTCTTCAGTGAGTTACCTTTTCCTCATACATGTCCTCCCTTGGTGCCACCCTATTCAGGTCCATTAGATGCACCCAGAGGCTCAGATGGTTCTACTTTTTAATGTCTATCAAAATTTTCATTAGGAAAGTATCTGTGAAATGCATTCCAACTGAAGTGTAAATAACAATTTCATTACCGTATCCACAGGTATTCAGAGTCTTTAAAGCAGCGAGGTAGAACATTGGGGTCTTTAACTGTGAGGTTCAGGCATTAGCTAGTAACTTGGGAGACATCTAAGAAGTGAAGGCAGCTTCTTGAATCCCTGGAAACTACACTCCCTACATAACAAGTAAGACTTTCCATAAGACATTGGAGGGCCCTCAGGCCTACCCCCAAAGCTCTACTTGAGCTGTAGACAAAGGGGTCAGGTCAAGCTAGGGTTAAGACTCCACCCATGCTCCATATGTCACAGAACATGGACGATGCTCCTTTTCATCGTTCACGTAGGCTCCTTTGTTGAACGCAGATTCTGGGAAGACACGGTGAGCTGGCCTGGAATGGAACACTGTTAGTTGGAATCCACGCCATGTCATTTAGCTGTGGTGCAACCTTAAACCACTCACAATTCCAATTCATATTGACCCTACAGGACAAAGTAGAAGTGCCTCTTTGGGGTTTACAGAAGCAGAAAGCCTCTTCTTGGGAGGAGCAAGTAGAGAATTTGAACTGCTAATCTTGTGGTTACCAACCCAGCATATAACCCACTATGCCACTACAGGTCCTTATAGCGGAAAGACTCCAGCTAACCCACTCTGCCACCTGGCTCCTTATAGCTCAGTGGTTCTCAACCTTCCTAATGCCATGACCCTTTAATAGAGTTCCTCATGTTGTGGTGACCCCC